TCTTTGAAAGTTTATTATATGAAGAAAAGTAAGTTTTATAGTATGGAGTAAATAAATTTAATGTTCCTGATATCATGTGAATTTTTATATTTACCAAATATTTGTTTAACTTGTTCTAACCTGCCTTTTGGGGATAGACTTCTCAGCAAATATTGGAATTTTAATATCATTAAGGTAATCCACATTTATATATGCTGACTCGAAAGACTGAATCATTCTTAAATCTCAATGAAACTTTACAAGGCTGATTTTCTCTTTTAAAAAGATGAAGTGTGGTAAAATGAACTGAGCCCAATGAGTGGCAATAGAATAAGTTCAGAACACAAAGACTAGAGTCGATGCCTGTCTCTGACATTGAAGAGCTGTGTGAATTTACTTCTTTCTGGACTTTAAAATAAGAGGAGCTTGAATTACATTTTGCTTAAAATTATTCTAAGTTCAAAATATCTGAATCTTAACTATACATTTATTATTCTTGAAACAATCATCTAACACAAAGCTTATCGTAGTCACTTGATTTAGTTTTTAATATCTCCATCATCCCTTACTATTCAGATATAGCAAGATAGAAGTGGACCCAAAATATATTCTTAATATTCAAAATATTAGCTGCATTCCTTACACCTGGAGATTATATATATATGTGAATATATACAGATGAATATATATGTATGGTAAATATATATTTAAATGAATATATATACAACAAATATATATATTGATTCAAATATTCTTGATACTTAAAGTCTACTTTTTTTATATTTAAGCAAAGCATATTAGACAATTTTAGAGCAATGGAATAGTAATATTTTCTCCATTTTTTTCTGCTTTCCTGTGGAAAATCAAGGATTTTTGTGGAAGGGGAAATTTGAGACCATGTTGACATCAGAGATTTAATGAGATGACAATGTCTAGCATGTGAAATCTCCAGCCAGAGAAAATGCTAGGCTTTTAATTTCAGAGGTATAAACACGCACTGATTCTAGGTGCCTGAGGTCTTGACCACATTTAAGAACGACAACTCCTGAGAACATGTTTGGGAAGCAGGAATGGGAAGCAGGGATGGAACAGAGGAGCATAGAACACGGTGAGAACATATACAATTAAAAAAAATAGTGTGAAAGAGATAGAAAATAAGGGACCATTAGAGAAAAGACAACAAATTCATTCATAGATATTGGCACATATTTTACATGTGTTTTCAAATATATTTGATGCATAAGGAGATATTTAGTTAACTCATTAAGTGGATGTTGGGAAGAATTCTATGTCTGTGAAAAAATAAAAGCTGCTTAAGTGCAGAAGGAAGAGTTCTGTAAGATTTTTTTATAACCACATACACCTATCTAATGTCGATTCTGTTTCACCAATCACCGTGTCTGCCTGCAGCCAAGTTGCAGACATAGGCCAAGAGGAGAAATTGTGCTTCACAAGTTCAGTCTTATTTCACCAATTGCAGAACTGAGGAACCATAAAATGAAGTATTTAATAAATACTAAAATGCTTAATTTTAATGTCAAATTTTATCAACAGCAAAATAAAAGCACCTATTAAATATACAAGGGTTGAATGCATGACTAGGAAATAAGGAGCATGGATTTTAGTTCTATCTGGGCTACCAAACTGTTATATTATTTGGTAGAACTTTATTTTCTACATCAAAAAAGAGTACACTGATAATGCCCTTCCTCACTAGGATTCTGTGAAGTTAAAAGAGATGTATGTGTACATTTTCTCTAAAAACATAGTATGTATTTAATTAGGTATTATTATTGATACATTAAAAAACACTAGTGCTAAAATCTTTAATGTAAGCCCTTACTTGCATTTTCTGAATTTTGTTTTTACTTCACATATA